TTACGAATAGAAGGTCAGAGAATAATTATCGGGGGAGTAGAAAAAAATTTAAAGGTGCTTCCTCAAGTCTCTGAACAAGCCGAGGGAAAATAACATAGGATTCCCCCAATATTGTTGTACTTAGCTGGCTTTCTGGACAGATCTCACAGGGACAAGGTGAAAGTATTGTTAGGATTCAAGGTACTCAGAAAGGGGAAGTGTAATTCTATCTAATAGAGCCCAACTGACAACCAAATAATACAATTTTGTTGAAGGTAAGAACAATTATGTTTATGTTATACTTAGTTAATGAATCAACATCCATTACTTGGCAACTCAAGCCAACAAAGTTGTGTTATATGGTTCTATTAGATAGTATTACACTTGCCCTCTGTGAATAAATTGAGTCCTAACAATAATTTTAGCTTGTTCCTGAGAGATCTGTCCAGAAAGCCGGCTAAATACAAGACACTGTGGTAGCACCCATAAGATGTGTTCAATTTCAAAGCGCATTAAACAAACATTGCAAATCAAATGAAATGTTTGTTCCTAAATCAATGTGCTGATAATTTATTTCACTTTACTAATATTTTAATCACATTCCAAACTATGTATACCTGTGCTTTTTGTTTGTTTTTAATAAAGATGTGACGTTTGTGTAAAACATGTTCAACCGCTGCTCTTATAAATTATTCTACAACTTCCTGTCAACATACAAGTTTTGTTCCTAGTGCTAATCACTAAAACCCTATGTTCACTGAAAAATGGAAATTACTTTGATGCAGAGTGGAAGTTAAAAGCAACATAGCTCAAAAATAAATAATATCTGTTATGACAACTGATGGCTGAAGGCCTTGCTCAAATAGAGGGTGTAAAGGAAAAGAAGGAGGTCAAGAACAAGTAGTAATTGGTTAAATCACATGTATTACAAGCCCAAAGAATTAAGCTAAAGAATAAAATTCAGAAGATAAAATTTTTAAGCTAAACTAAATGTTGATATCAAGTCAACATTTATCACTAGCCAAACAGTCCTACTAAACAAGTAGCTTCGTATCACGATACATAGATCAAGGCGTGGCTAATATTTAGTTATGTTTAGGTATAGGAACGATAATTAAGTAAAATCTGATACAAAGGAACACATGTTATTATAAAAATAGTCTTAGCTATTGGAATTATTTTGAACTTGCTATTAAAGCCATAAGAATTTCACTAAAGAATAAACTTCAGAAAATAAAATTTTTAAGCAAAACTTAATGTTGATATCAAGTCAACATTTATCACTAGCCACACAGTACAGTACTACTAGACAAGTAGCTTCATATCACGAAACATAGATCAAGGCGTGGCTAATATTTAGTTATGTTTAAGTATAGGAACGATAATAAAGTAAAATCTGATACAAAGGAACACATGTTATTATAAATATAGTCTTAGCTATTCCAATTATTTGGAACTTGCTGTTCAAGCCATTGGAATTTCACTAAAGAATAAAATTCAGAAGAAAACATATAAAACTAAAATAAATGTCCATATCAAATAAACATTGATGACTAGCCAATCAGTAATACTAAATAGATGGCTTCATATCACAATACATAGATCAGTACGTGGCTAATATTTAGGTATGTCAAAGTATAGGAACAAAGATAAAGAAAAAAACTTATAAAAGGAACACAAGTAATTAGTCTTAGCTATCACAATTATTTTGAACTTATTGATCCTTACAATTCTTCTTCCTCTTCATTTTCTACCTCTTCATTATTTGCTTCCTCATTTTCTTCCCTTTCAATTGCATATACTTCATCGTCACTGCGGTTTTCTTCATTCTCTCCATCTATATTTTCTTCCACAACTTCTTCGACATTTCTCATAACATTTTCATAAAACACATGGTATTTAGAAGGAATGGCCAGGGAATTGCACAATTCAGTCAAGTGAGCAATTTTCTTCTGGTTCAAAGGGATTTTAGAAGTAAAAGCAGGAGTCAATCTGTAAGTTTTCAGCTGTACAGGACGGCCTACATGGTGCAGTCTTGTATCAACAGTCATCTCATTTCCATCATGGTCAATCTTATAAGTCAGGACTCCAACGGCTGAGGGATCAGCTTTCACAATCTTCACTTTGCTCCAAGCAACTTTCCTTCGAGCAGTATTGTAATCCCACTGTTGAAGGGAATGAACAAGCACATGGAAGTCAAATATTTCTCGTCTCTTCATAATTTTCACATCATACTTTGGCCTTTGCTGTTTTGCTTTCTGGATGAGTGTCACCCATTCATCCATGTCAAAAATTTCTTTCAGTTCTGCTGCCGATTCAATTCTTGCATGAATTGAGTCATTCTCATCCTGCGTATGACCTGGTTCCAAGAAGCAGTGCTCCTATGTTATGTTCAGCTCTGCAGCTGCACAAGAATTTTTTTTTTTATTTTGACCACCACAGCTGTCTGAGAAGGAGTAGAATTTCTTGGCACCTTTTTCAGCATGAGATGTCACATATTGAAACATACAACTGCCAACCTCATTGGCTCCCCTTTTTGCAACTCCTTCATGCCACAAATGGCAGACACCCTTTTTCCTAATCATGTCAAAGGACATATACAGAGATAATTTATTCTTGTCGAAGAATACTGAGACCTCACTTTTGGGAACGGGCAAAACCTTTTGTAGATCAAAAGCAAATACATGAACAGTGCTGTCTTGTACTCCCATATCCACTGCCTGCTTCATACGTTTACGGGCTTCTTTTTTGTTTGACTGGTGCTTGGCAAACTTATTCTTAAATTTTTCCCTTTCTGCTCTAGTTCCTGTCTTGATTACTCGACAAAGTTGAAATTGATCCTTCTTTGGGCGGAAAAAGGCAAGGTTGAAATCATTACACAGGACACAGCTCGGTACTTTCCCTCTGTGGCCCTGGCATTCATCGGTACATTGGTTTCTTGACACCATTCTACATACTGCCGACTCATTCTGCTAATACTAAGACCCCACTCTAAGTACTCACGCTGGCTTCTAGATCTTGTACAGTGAGATGGAATTCTTGGATAAAGATTAATGTGTGCGTGAATACTGTCTCTTTCAGCATCAGTAATTTTTTGAGGTGTATTAGCGTGCTTGCCCCTCTTGTCAGGGGAAACAAGTTTGGACTCGCCTTGCAACAGATGATTGTATGCACTATCAATCATGCTATGTCCTGTTGACAAAGTATTTACAAACATAGTCTTACAGACATACACTTTTTCTGCTTCACAGTAATTGTCTGAGACATAAAAAAAGATACTTTCCGGAAGAGTTTCTCCTCGAATTTTGAGCTTTATCTGTAGTCCGTCTTACTACTGCACTTGTTTCTAAGTGTCTAGTTATGAAGTCCCACTTCTCCCTCTGACACTTTGTAGCATAGAAGCTACTAAAGACTCTTTTACGTTGTTCCTCAGATATGTAATCAGAACACACTCTTGAGCAAGCACAGGGGTTCTTCATCTCAACAGGACTCACAGACTTACCTCGCTTAGAGGTATAGGCCTCGCCAGCATTTCTGGCTACTTTCCTCTTGGTGTCCAGCCACCTACTGGGGTCTCTAAGACGCTTGCGTTTAGATGGTTTTTGTAAGCATTGCCTTTTTCTTGGAACAGCCCTTGGTGTTTGCTCCACTGGCTGCACAGTTTCCAACAGCTTTTCTTCTTCCTGAGGATCTAAAGTGGTGCCATCTTCATTATCTTGTTCATTTTCCTGAGCAGGATGTAAAGGTGTGTCATCTTCATTGCCTATCGCTTGTAATTCTTGTAGCATGGAAGGAGTTGTGGGCTTTCTTTGTGCATCTGCTTCATCTATTCCAGCTATAGTGTGGATATGCATATCCGCAGCAAGAGGATCCACTTCTGTTCCTCCACAGTGAACTGTCAAGCATTGGCAGGCAGGGGTGATTCTTCAGCCTGTTCTGGCCTGTTGTTTTGCTGGTCGCGATTGTGGTTAGCACCTACTGCGGCTGGATACAGCTGTCTTGCCCGATTGCTGACGGCCCGAAATTTTGGACGCCCCATTACATAAAATATTTACAATAGTAGGAGACCAGACCAGAACGCTCTCACGCGCGTCGTTCCGACATCGTTGTTGTTGCTGCCAGCTCTGCCAGGCCAACGGGTCCAGAGATGGGGAGGCGCTCCAGTTAGCTGTGTGGACGAAGTTGAGGTTATGGCTCATTTAAAATACTTAACATCTTTTTCTGTGAAGTTCTGACAACTTTCGAAGCACGTTTTTTAGAAAGAGCGTATTTTTCCCTATAAAATGCACATTAAAGCTCAAATACGACGAAAATGTCAGTTAGCTGCTTGTCTGCACAGCGTTGGAAGATAGCTGCTTGTCTGCAGCGCTGCGAAAGATAGCTGTTTGTCTGCACCGCTGGAAAAGTTAGCCGTTTGTCTGCAGTGCGAAGGAAGATAGCTGCTTGTACGTAGGAGGTGTCGATTTGTTGTTGTACTCACTTTCAGGATTAATTTAAGATATAGAATACCAATATCCACCAAAAAACTTTGCCCACAGAAATTTTAAAAGTTACGTAAACTTTTCAGTTTATAAATGTCTATGCGCAAAGTTTTTTGATGGATTTGGTTATTCTAAAGCTCAAACGAGTTTTTAAGGTGATTACTACAACCATTATTTGCCACTTTTTTGATTTTGTATCTTATTCTGATTTTGAGGTTTTCAGTATACCCTCCCTATATGAATAATCTCCACAACTACCTTACCGTGAACACAGTGGTTGATTTAAAATCAGCAAACTGTTTACATTTTAATTTTTATTATTAAAGACTTAAACACACTAAGATAAATTTTGACTTGTGGCGATTAGTAATAGATTATAGATTGATGTGCAAAAATTATAAAACCTCCTTTTTTCTTCTTATGGTGATCATAGTGGAAACCTAATGAAGCACATAACTAGGCACCACAAAGACAAGTTGGCTGCCTTGGATAGGCAGGTAAAGGAGTGAAATACTGGAAAGTCGAAGAAAAAATCATTGAAAGCCATTGAGATGAAGGTGGTTATGTCTCCTCGTTGCCTCAAGCTGGCCTGTGTCCGAATGGTGGCTGTGCATGGACGCACCTTTGAACTGATGAACGACGCTGCATTCCAGGACATTGTGAAGTCATATTTGAATGGATTTCCTGCAAGAGAGAGGTATGTTAGACTTTTCTACAAAAATACTCGAACTGTTGCATCAATAAATAAAGTGTCCAACCAGTGCACACTTTTTAGTATGCAACTGACAGATGACTGACAGCTGTACTCCTGAAAATGTTGCAGTGGTGTCAAAATACTTACTTCTCTTAAAAAAGTGCATTATACTGTAAAATTTATCTTCATCATATTCTTTTTTTGTTTTGTAACCAAATGCCAACAAAATTAATGGCATTCTACACTGATCATATTGACATCCATTCAAGTTTTTAAATATCTAATAATATGCTGCAAATTATTTTTAAAAGTATACAGCCTTCTTTACTGTCATGCCCAATACATTCAAGGCCTTTATACATAGGTGCTGTAAAAAAAGCGTTATTAGAATACTTTTGTCTCTTACAGGTTTGCCATCAATGATGCCTCTATACGCACAATGGTACAGGAGGAGGCTACTAGGTTACGCACCTACATTAAAAATGAGGTCAGAGGCAAGATGGTTTCTCTGAAGGTAGACTCAAGTAAGAAGAATGGTCGTCCCTTCTTCGGAGTGAACATCCAGTTTGCTTCAAATGGAGAAATTCAGCTTCGCACTTTGGCCGTTAGGGAGCTGATGGTGACACAGAGTGCTCAAAATCTAAAACAAGAAATTATGGACATATTAGACATGCATGACATTGTCGTCACGAACATTATTTCATTCACATCTGACAACGGGCAAAACATTCTAAGGGCAGCTGATTTGCTACGGACTAACCAAGAGGAGAGGCAAGACCTTATTGATGAAGATCAAGAAGAGCTTGATCTCTTCATTGAACAGGAAGGTGTCCGCCTTGACAGCCTGAAGTGTGCTGCACACACACTTCAGCTAGCAGTGATGGAAGATTCGGTGAGAAAAATTGACAGTGTGACAAATCTTATTAAAAAATGCAGAGAAATTGTGAAAACATGTCGGACAGAAACAAATAGAAAAAAATTGAAGAGAGCTCGCCTGCCAATTCCTGTTCATGACAACGATACTCGCTGGAACACTTCTTTTGCGATGCTGGAATCTCTGCTGAAAGTGAAATCGTTTATGGAAGATGACATTTCAGATAATTTTAGTGAAGATGACTGGACTTATGTAGAATCTGTTTTAGAATCCCTGGAAGCTACCATGGTGGTGGCCACAAAGGTTTTACAAGCAGAGCAGCTCACACTAGGATATATGTATGGTGCGTGGGCTGAATGTAAAATTAAACTTGGAAAGGTAGGCTCACCCCTGGCTAGTCAAATTCTGGAGTCTATGGAGAAACGGGAAAGAAGAGAAGTTTATGCTCTTAGCAACAGGCTGATGGCTGGCCAAGACAAAGTACCACCCCTGTTTGATTATCCTGGGTTTTTGGCAGCCATTTTTCTAGATTTACGGTATTTTGCCATTTTGGAAGAGAGTGATGTTGTCACAGCCAAGTCCTACATTTCCAACCTGTGGACAAAAATAGAAAAAAATAAAAATCCAAGACATGAGAATATACCAGAGGGTGACCAGGTGGTGGAGGAAGAGGAGGAGGATGAAGATGAAGTATCAGCATTGCTTCGTGCAAGGGACAGAGGTCGCACTCGAAATTTCACTTCAACCCATAGAGACATTTTTTCAATGTATGTATGATTTTGGTACGCAAGAGGAGAGAATAACAAGCAGGGGCCGGGCCTGCTTGGCCTGCCGGCGGCGATGGTCGGGCCTGCGACCCGACCATTTCTGTCACGCGATTTGCTGTAGAACATAATTAGATGATGTAACGGGCCCCGTCGTCCTTAAAATTTGCCCCGTAGACACGAGAAAGGGATGTAACGGTGAAACACCGCGCCTACAGCCCACCCTTCTGCTTAGAAAACGTTTTTTGGGGTGGGGGGAGGGAGTTTCTTACCTCTTTTGCGGTTCTGGGCCTTCTTTTACATTTCTGTGTTCACTACAGCAATTTTTCACTTATTTTCGTCAAACAAGACCCTCTAGCGCCGAAACGGTTAGAGATAGAGCCAAACGGACGTAATTTTTGTCCAGAGGGCTCCACTTTGACATGGTACCCCTTCGGAGACCATTCAATATTTTCGGACATTAATAAATTTATTTTTGGGCCACTTTTGTGAGGGAAACTCCCTCTAGCGCCCAAACGGTAAAAGATAGAGCAAAACGGACGAAATTTTCGCTCGTAGGGCTCTACTTTGACGAGTTACCCCTTAGGAGATCATAAAAAAAAAAATATTTTTGTCTGACTTTTTTGACCTAGCCCCTTTTCTTTGATACCCCCTTTCAGCGCCTTAGGGTTGGTTGCCAGGATTTGCCGTAGGCGTTTCGTTTTCTAGGAGTGAACCTTAAGATACCCTGAAAATTTGAAGTCTCTAGCACATCTCCTTTTAGTGGAACAGACAGACAGACACACAGACAGACAGACAGACAGACAGACACGAGGTCGTTTGCATAAGCCCGCTGGATAGCTTTTTCAAAGCAGAAGGGCGGGCTAAAAATACAATATCATTTGAGGTTATAATCTTTATAATAAGACGCGTTTCTATTATCCTCTATTAGCATATCCCAACAATTACGGACCAGGATTTAAAGTTTATGCGTATGCATCTCGAATAGAAAATTTACAGACAAACCTGGTTTTTAAGTTACATTAACTTACCTATTACATTTCCGAACGTGCCGGGCGATCTTATTCAAGAAATTTCGATTGTGTTGTGGTTTCTTCTGGCTACAGAAACCATGAGTAGAGGGCGTCCTTCCCTTATGTAGCAGCCCGCCAGCAAGGTGCCGTGCAGCAGGCCGTCGAGGCCACCATGGGCACGGAGGACGGGCGAGGGGGTAATCACTCCGTGAAAATGCGTACACCTCAACTTTTCACTTTTCCACTTTTATTCACTTTTTCACAGTTTTACGACGTTTACTTTATTTCTATGCCTTTATCCCCTCTATTTTATTCATTGATCTGATCAAGGCACGATAAGTCACTTTTGTCCACATTCTCTTTCAGTTTTCATTACTTTTGGTCAACTTTTTGTCACTTTCATTTTAACTTTTACAGAAATGTGTACACCTACTTTTTGTAGTGATTACCCACTCGGGGACGGGCGACGCCCCCGAGCACTCCAAGATAGGCGGCGTGCTCTGGGACACAGTCGTGGGTGCGAGGGACGGGCGACGCCCCTCGCGTACTCCAAGACCTCCGGAGCGCCTGTGTGCTCGCTGACTTCGTCATGGGGGTGGTGCCCCTCCCCCCCCCCCTCACACACACACACACCACCCGTCCGGTCACTACGAGCGAGGCGCCGCGCTCGTGGACTTTGCCATGGTCGTGAGGAGCGAGCAGTGCTCCTTCACTCCGGCCGCCCGGACGTGAGCGAGGCGCGTCAGGTTGACTCAGCTGGACGCCCTCCGCTCCGCCCGCCAGGTCACTCCAAGAGAGGCACTGTGCAGGGGAGCACATCGTGGTGGTCACGAGGGCGGGGGACGAGCGAGCAGCCGTGCCGGGCCGTACTCGTGCTCGTGTACAATGTCGTGGGCGCTGGGAACGGGCGACGCACCTCGAGCACTCCAAGCGGGGCGCAAGCGGGGCGCCGTGTTCTTATTGGACTGTCGGGGGCGCGAGGGACAGGCGACGCACCGCGCGCACGCCAAGCCCTCCATGCCAGACGCCCGTGGTTGTGGACTACGTCCTGGGCGTGGTGTGTGAGTGTGTGGGGGTGAGGGGGTTGTCCCCGGGGCTGCCGTCGGGCTACTTGCAGCTTACTAGGCTCACCGTGGCACAGCCGCCCTCCGCGAATACTGCGTACTTCGCTCTGCTTATCCAGGTGTGCTGTACCTGGACCCAGCAGTGGGCGGGCATGGAGCAATTCACGACGTTGCTCGCAGCGTGCTGTGTGCGGGCAAGGTGGATTAAGGGACGGTGGCGGCACTCCCGGCCGGCCCCATAGGCGCGTGAGCGACCGAATCTGTCCCCGCTGGGCTGCCGCGCGGCGTGCCTACCTCCCAGGGTCGTAGGCTGGCGGCGCGCCGGCGCGCTATGGGGCGCTCGGGGTTTTTTGGCCCTAGCGCCTATCCTATTGATTTTGGAGGGTTGGTAAAAGCAAGGCGTTTAAAGGGCATCATGTAAGCTTTCGAATGAGCACAAGCCGAAGTCTGTGCGATATTTCTGAGAGGATTGCCAGCGAAATTAGTTTGGCGCTGGAACGCGCGCTTGGGTAACTTCGCTCCTGGCGCCTCACCCGTTGGTTTTAGACGAAATTGTACTAAATAAACATTGAAAGAGCATAAAAAACGTTAACAATTCTTGTTAACCATAAACGGACCCTTAGTTAAGAAAATTGTCCATTTTACAGTTTCGAGCAATATTTTTTGAATATAGAAGTTTGCGCCGCGTCATAGCGCCCTCTCACTTGTACAATCTGCTTTTGGACGCCATGTAGGCATTTCATGCCTGCTTGCTGCATTGTTCGTGTTCTTGATGTGTCTTTTTGCGTGATATTTTTTTGAATTAGCATTTTAATCATTACTTTTATAATTGAACACAATTTTTGGCATGAGCGCTGGGCAGCGCGCGCGGGGGGCTGACTACTCAGAGAGCTAGGTGTCCATTGTTGCTCTGGTGACCGGGCGTGGGTGTGGAGCTGCTCAACAGGTGGTGTTGAACCATGACGCCCTCCCCCCCGCGCGCCCCAACTGTCTGGCAGAAACGGGTCCGTTTAAAAAGCCACAAAATGAGCTTGCACCGAGGTCGATACGACCACTCTGTGAGGTGTAGCATCGAAATTAGTGCGGCGCTCGGCCCGTTTTGGACAAGTTTACCGCACACGCTCCGGTATTTTCGCACCGGACTCCTTTCCTGGTCGTTTTAGGTGGGTAATGATAAGGGAAGAAAATAAAGGGCATGCAATAAGCTTTCAATTGAGCCCACTCAGAAGTTTATACGAGCATCGCGAGAGACACAGCGTCGCATCATAGGAACATAGCTGCGAGCGCTGTGTCGGTCAGTGCCGTCTTGATGAACTACCGCCCGACACCACACTTTCTTCTTTTCTTCTTTTTCACTTTTGTGTATTCTCCAATTAACTTTTTGGCGGGAAAACTATGTTATGACAGAAATTCTTAGCAGCCGACAGCTAGTCTCTTGAAAAATCTTCCCGTGTAACCCTTCAAAATGGTATGCAAATGTGCTGCGTTCGGCTGCAAAGGAAACTACGATTCGACCGATGATCGTGTCTCGGTTTTCAAACCACCTGCCGTAAGAAACCAAACACTTTTAAATAGTTTCAGTAAAGCATGAATTGCGTGTGGTCAGGTGTAGTGTTGTGAGCCTAGAGCAATCAACGTTCGACCGTAGGCTACCAACAGTTATTTACAACATACCTTGTGTTATACCACATTTAGTTGTATTTTTCGAATGATATTTCCAGCGATTCCCTCAAGGTGGATTCCCTTTATCCTATGCCTTTGAACCACTCTGCTGATCAGACCCACAAACAATTCATGAGATACTGTTCAAAATGAAGTTCATCCCAACTCTGATGAATTCCATTTCATTAAAGTAGGAATTCTATTACCTGCTATTTTAATCTGAAATCTCCTGTAAAAATTTTCCTACATTTCCTACACATGACAAAACTTATGGTTCCTTTCTGAAATACATTACAGGGAGTGCTGGAGGTGTTCTATTCTATGGTGTTATAGAATAGATATGTTTAAAATTGGGGATCAGGGATAACGAAGGAGACAGAACACTTGAGGGGAATACTCCAGAGAGAGATATTTATTATGTAGCCTAGTTATGCTACTTGTAGTTGGGATAGGTTAGGATGTAGAAGGCAGTGAGGGTATGTCAACTGTACCCTACTTATGACCATTGGTGCCAACCTAACCCTCCAACTACAACACCTCCCCCTTCGAGATTACAACTCATTATAGTTGGTACACTTGTCAATACAATATAAGAAAGTACAAGTGTAAACAACAAACTCATTGCGGAAGAGACCGCGAACACAATATTTTTATTTTGGATATAAAAATGATTACATAAAAATGAGTAAATAAGGAGTATTAGTATTTCAGATATTGGTCTTCATCATATCTTTTATTCTTAGTGATCCGTCGACCAAATCTTGACGTATTTACATTAGGATCAACAGTCCTGGAGTCCACTGGAACAAAATTGCGCAAAGGGTTAGGGGGGTTATGATTCACTCTCTTTTCACCAAGTCTTAAATTGGCAAGGATAGCATCGGCATCAAGTTCAATTTGGTTTACACCAGCATCTACTCTATCCGGTTTTGTTGCAGAGTGTTTGATATGCCATGTATTACGGCGTAATTGACCACCACCTAATAAGTTAATGACGTAGCTTCTATCTGCAGACAGTCTACGCACTATTTTCCCTTTATGCCATTTTTTTCCACGTCTTACCACAACATTTTCACCTTGTTGAAAGGTTACAGGTTTGCGTCTGGCTCGCAAGTCATGTTGGGCTTTAATTTTGTCTTGTAACTTTTTGAGCAACTTTCTAACCAGTACAACCTTTGGTTCCAGATGTCTTTTTAGAGTAGGAATGACTGTTCGACAAGTTCTACTCATAAGAATTTGTGCTGGAGACACAGTCAACCCAGTCAATGGTGTATTATTATACTCTTTTAAAGCATCAAGAATGTGCGTGCCATCATCTTTGCATTTCTTAAGCATTTGTTTAGCAATATGCACACCTTTTTCAGCCAAGCCGTTACTTCGAGCATATTCTGGTGAACTAGTTTTAATTTCACACTCCATGCTCTTAGCAAACTCATGACATTCACTGGAGTTGAGAGGATTATTATCACCAAAGATTTCTTGTGGATTACCATGAGTAGCGAATATAGATCTAAGTGCATCTATTACAGATTTGCTACTTTTACTAGGTAAAGGTTTGATTTCCAACCATTTAGACAAGTAATCATCTACAACCAAATAGTCTTTTGAATCAAAGTTCAGTATATCAACACCAATTTTTTGGAACCTGAGAGAAGGAATTTCATGTGAAATCAGTGGTTCACGAAAATTGTTTGCACTGTGCCTTTCACATCGTCGACATTCTTTAATTAGATTAGCAATGTCATTGGACATTCCTGGCCAGTACAGGGACTGCCTCGCTCGAGCCTTAGTTTTATCTATGCCCAAGTGAGCAGTATGTAATTTTTTTAGTACTGGTTTTCGAAGTTTAATAGGCACAATTATTCTGTCCTCTAGAATAACCAGATTGTCTTCAACAAAAATATCCATGCGGATTTGCCAATAAGGCTTAGCCTCATTGTCAACTTTATTTTTGTTGTTGGGCCATCCCTCACGGCAATATTTCATTACCGCTGATAACCCAGGATCAAGAGCAGTTTCTCTTTCAAGATCAGCTTTGATAGTTTCTGACATGGGGATATATTTAGTAACCTCATGTACTACTTCAGTCATTTCTGGATCATCCTCAACAGGATCACCCAGGCATTGTCTCGAAAGGAGATCAGCAATGTGCATGTATTTTCCAGGTAAATACTCAACTCTAGGGTGGAACCTGTGTAATTTTAACCTCATCTTTTTCAGCCTATTATTAGTGATTGAGCTAATGACTTTTTTGAAAATATGAATCAAGGGTTGATGATCTGTTTGAAACAATACATCAGGCATACCCCAGATATACTTTTCAAATTTTTGAGCAGCAAAGCATAGTGCAAGCATTTCTTTCTCAACTTGAGCATAATTTTTCTCTGTTTCAGTGAGAATTCTTGAGTCTAATGCTACAGGCCTGCCATTTTGAAGCAGACAGCAACCAAGACCATATTGGCTTGCATCAGCCTGTATAACTATAGACTTAGAACTATCAAATGTTGCAAGCACTGGTGCTGTTGTCAAAGCCTCTTTCAGTTTTGAAAAAGCTTCGGCATGTACAGGCAACCATTGAAAAGATATTGTTTTTGACAATAATTGGTAGAGAGGTGCAGCAATTGTAGCCATTTGAGGTAAAAACTTTCTCACATAATTAAATGTTCCCAAGCATTTTTGCAGCTGCTGCTTAGTTTTGGGTTCATTTATGGCACTTATTGCTTTTACCCTTTCAGGATCTACTTTTGTTGCATTTTTTGACAAGAGTTGTCCCAAGAATTTTACCTCCTTTCTACGGTATTGCAACTTATCAATATTAAATCTAATATTTTGCTCATTTGCCTTCTCCATAAATTTTGCAAGCTTATAGTCATGCTCAGCATAATTTTTTCCTGTGATTAAACAGTCATCAAAGTAAATTATGGCGTCAGTACCCCGAAATGCTTGTTCAGTTAAAAACTGGAATGTCTCAGGTGCACTGCACAGACCAAAAGGCATTTTCAGGAATCTGTAAAGGCCATGCGGAGTGGAGAATGTGCACAACATGCTAGATTTTTCATCTAGCGTAGCATGCCAAAAACCCCACTTTAGATCAAGCACTGTGAAGATTTCTTGATCTCTCACTTTGTAAGACAATTCATCAAAAGTTGGAATCGCATACCTTGAGCGTTGAATTGCTTTGTTTAACTGTTCCGGGTCAAGACAGATTCTTAGATCTCCATTGCTTTTTTCACGAATCACCATATTACTGACAAACTTGGGAATTTCATTAGTAACTTTAGCAACAATGCCATCCCTTTCCAAGTCATCCAGTTTGGTTTTTAACCGCTGAATTATAGAGAAATGATATCTCCTTGCCGGGCACATCCTAGGTTGGAATGTGGGATCAACCACTATTTCAACTTTTTGCTGAAATTCTCCTATGCCTGCAAATAGGCTACTGTAATTTTTTAAGAAGTCTTGCTTAGAGTCTGGTAGCAATTTTGTGACTGTTACAGTATTCACTGTATGTGGATGCTCAACTCTTTTTACCAGATCTAATTGTTCACAAGCTTCTATACCCAACAGTGGTTTAGGTTCAATGGTAGAGAGTAGAAATTCACAAAGCATGCTGCCACCATATTTAGTCTCTACAAGCAATTTTACTACACCAGCAGGTTTACTAAGAACTTTCCCATAACTTTCCAACACAGTGTTGGTGGGGTAAACTTTGTAACCTTTATTAATTTTTTGGAAGACATGGAATGGCAGACTATTTATTTTGGAACCATTATCTAATTTAAATTTGACATAATGTTCCCCCTGAAGCCTTAAAACTTCAATATATTCTTTTCTAGGTCTTTTACTCTCCCAACCACTCTCAATAACCTGTCTTTTAACTGTATCACTAACAGTTAGCATATGTACATACCTGTTATCAGACCAGCCTCCTAAGAGGACATCCTGAAGTTGATTCGTCACTGACTGAATAGTATCAACTTTCTTTGACTGTTGGTTTTGATTATTTGCAGGTTTTTGACAGACAGTATGGAAGTGGTTTCTGCCATTGCAGTTACCACAAACCTGTCCCCATGCAGGACAGTTACCTGCCTCATGGAACCTGGCACACTTCCTGCATTTATATTTGAACAGATTTTTAAATTGTTTCCCAGAATTTCCTTCTCCCTGTTTTGATCCACCATTTTTCTGATTGGAAGACTCTTGCTGGTATTTTCCTCTGCCTCTGTAGCTTTTGGCTCCTCTCTGTTGACCAGAGGGAATGCCAAACTTACTTGGGTGCTTGCCTTTGTTTTTTGCAGTAAAAACATGAACAGCATCGACTTCCTGGGCTTCATTAGAATCATTTTGCCTGGGATAGCGCGCAGTTGCTGCTACCCCTTTGCAAATTTCTATTATTTCAGATAAGGGAAGGTTAGACTTTGCTCTGATTGTCTCCCTTAACCTCTTATCATAAGTGCCCCAGATTATTCTGTCTTTTAGCATGCTGTCAGCGATCTGAGCGTACTCACAGTCTTTAACAAGATTTTGCAAATCTGTGAGCCAAGTGTGGAAGGCTTCACCTTTTTTCTGTGAGCGAGCATTAAACAGCTCCCTGCAGCCAGTCACACACTTCTTTTCTGCGGCATATAGATCAAAATGTTCAACAACTTTGTCATAGTTGTTGGTATTGTCAGTGTCAATAATTTCTTCACCTGCCTCGTTAGTCTTGTAGGTGATGAGCTTGTCTACAAAAGCATTATATACTTCCAAAGCTTCATCACCTGCCACACCCATAAGGAGTGCACACTTCACTTCTGTTGAGGCCTTCGTTTTACCTATAGCAATAAGGTAGAAAGCGAATTTTTGCTTGAATAAGTCCCAAGACTTCTGAATATTACCCTCCTTCAAGTTAACTGGAGGTGGAGCTTTGACTAGATCAGCCATAGTCTTTTAAGCAAAAATTGCACAATAGAAATCTGACACCGGCACCCAAGCTACCAAGCAGTTATAATCCAACACCAGTTATTTTGCAAATCAAGCACTTTTCAGCAACGCCTTACCAACCAATCACTTCGGAGCACTTTTAAGTCCTTTTACGACTGCGCCATGTTCTATTCTATGGTGTTATAGAATAGATATGTTTAAAATTGGGGATCAGGGATAACGAAGGAGACAGAACACTTGAGGGGAATACTCCAGAGAGAGATATTTATTATGTAGCCTAGTTATGCTACTTGTAGTTGGGATAGGTTAGGATGTAGAAGGCAGTGAGGGTATGTCAACTGTACCCTACTGACCATTGGTGCCAACCAAACCCTCCAACTACAACAGGAGGAATGGAGAAAAGCCATACCTATTCCCAGACACAAAATAAATTCAAACACCAGAATTTGTGAGAATCACTTTCTTCCTGAATTCATTATAAGACATATCAAAATTAAATTACCAGATGGTACTATTTTGAAAGAAGAAAGACCTCCCAAGCTAGCACCAAATGCTGTACCAACAATATTGAAATTAGATGCAGAGTCTAAAGTTCCTGAGTATTTAAACGTCAAGTTGCCTAAGAAAAGGACAGATCCCTTCCTGAGAAAGAATTCTACTGAGTCAAGGAAAAGGCCTCATGATGAGGATAAGGACATTGGTCCCTTATCAAAAAGAACTGCTGTTGATGAGCTCTCAGATGTCACTGACCAACCTGCTCCTGTTCCTGATACTCCTGACCAAGGTGCTCCACTAAGCATCACAACAACTTCATTGTATGATAATCCACAGCAGGTTTCCTTGCCCCATCCACTGTGGACTTCTGTAAAAGGTCCAGAGAGTATTGCCTTCATTGAGTTCACGATAAAAAATAATATCTTTGAAGCACAGAAACAAGTAGTTTTTGCAAAGTGTAATGAAAAGGTAACACCAACAGTTTACATTAATAACAAAAAGACAGATTTGAGGACAGAAATACAGAATATCAAAGAACTAGAAGATCTCTTAAAAGATATAGACAAATGTAAGCCTTGTCCTGGTACAGGCATTGAGGACACCTTTGCAAAAACTTGCAGGGGCTATTGCCACACTCTGGGTTCAGGAAAAGCAGCCAAGAGATGCCACAATTGCTTTGGAAAAACAAATGGTATGAAAAAAAAGAAAGAAGAAACAAGGATAGAATACCACGAAGAAAAAAAAATCAAGAAGATTGCAGAGAGAGAAAAGAACACTTATGAAAAAGGTAATTAATCTTTTATGTTACTTTTTTTCACCAAAGTCATGGTTTTGTTCAAGATATTTTTTGTTAATAGGTTTCAAAGCTAAAAGAGCAATTAGAAGATATGCAGAGAAAGTATGATGATCTTAAAGAAACACAAATTGAAGACATTGTTAAAAACCTACCCCCTCGTCAGAAAGAAGCTGTTCTAGCCTGCATTTATGCTGCAAAGGCCAAGTCTTCAAATGGTGTACGATATACACAGCAATGGGTGTATGAATGCACTCTCTTAAGAATAAAACCTCCAGCCCTCTATAGGAAAATGAGGCGGGATCAGACTCTAGTTTTTCCATCTCCCCGAACACTTCAGAGGTACATGAAAAGGCTCAAACCTGCCTATGGCTTCCTTCCTGCTACTTTTGAACTACTGGGAAAAAAAAGTCAAGAAATGGAATTAGATGAGCGCCATGGTAAGTTAATTCAACACACATCAAATATTAAAAATAATTACCTACTTTTACTTATTCTTATTTTGTTTTCCACCCCTTCACAGGCTGTTTATTACAAGATGAAGTATGTCTAACAGCTTGTTTGCATTTTAACTGCAATTTACTAAAAGTACAGGGGGTTGTAAACCTTGGAGATGACACACCAGAGGAGCTAAAAGATCAACCGGGTGATCATGCTCTTGTCTTTATGTTCAAGCCCTGGAAAGGGCCTTGGTTCCAAACAGTGGGTGCATTCCTCTCCAAAGGTGCAGTTAAAGGTCCTATTCTAGGAAAACTTGCCCTCGAAGCAACTGGTTTGCTGGAAAAGGCTGGTTTCCATATTGATATGTGGGTCTGTGACGGGGCCTCTTGGAATAGAAATATGTGGACCGAAATGGGTCTCAGAAATCCATTTGCCTCAAAGAAAACAAAGAGAAAAAAATCAACAGTTGTAGATGTAGTAAGCAATAGGGGCAAAACAAGTTTTAGTCACCTTTGTGACTCTGAAAGGAGAATTTATATGTGCTCAGATTTCCCTCATTTAATAAAATCCCTTAAAAGTAGGATTTTACCAAGCAAAGAAAAAGGAAATGTCAAAGATGTAAGTAGAGAGAGAGATGTATTTTTTTTTCTCCAGGGAGAATATTTTTTTAATTGTATTTGATTTTACAGCTTGTTACACCTGATGGCACTGTAAAATTTTCTAATTGAGAATCATTATATCAAGCTGACACTGCCAGGGAGAAACCAACCAATACAACGTTGCTACAAATTAACAAGAGACCATCTTTACCCTCACAATTACCAAACCATGAATGTGGGAATGGCATTCACAGTAAGCTACTCATTGTGTTAAAAAAGGGGGAATTAAATAGGGAAATGTATATCAAATTTCTAAATTTATGCTGTTTTTTAGTTTTTCAGAAGGCTATCCTGGCCTTGAGGATAGTGGTTCAACTATTAAATTCATCCGTAGAGTCAATGACCTAATTGATGCAATGAATGCGAACACTCCCTGGGGTAGCATCAGGAGAGCAGATGATGACCTGGAAATGGATGAAGAAGATGAGTCTGATGGGACAGAAATAAATGAACATGGATTTAAGAAGAAAAAAGGTGCAAGACAGGTATTGATTTTCCTCCTATTAAACATTTAGACCACATGAATGCTAAAAAAATAAAATACATTTTCAATTGCTATTTTTAAATAGGTCATAAACAAGTTTTTAAAGTATCTGGTTGAATGGGCTGCAATGCCAGGAAAACAAAGTAATAAACTTGCACATCAGACACAGTATGGTTTATATGTCACACTCACAAGTGCATTGGAACTGTCTGACTATTTAATTAATGAACTTGGATTTAACTATGTTATGACAAGGAGAATGAATCAAGATGCCCTCGAGGTAGGCTGTCTCTTTACAATGAAAAACTTTTCTCTTTTTTTTAACTATGTTTTTAGGTTTTGTTTTACTTACATAAACTATTTTTGACTTCTCACCACTTCTCTGGAGACGCAACACACATCCCGACCCATTACAGTTCATACAGGTGTATCGCCTACTATCCGTTGCCTCACTCATTAAACCCTCTAGGGGGAGCAACATCACTGGTGCAGAAATGCTGAATGCTCTCCTCAGTTCAACAGATCTTATCTCTGAATCAGAAAAACAAAGACAGATTGAATTAGAGAAGGAGCTAGATGATTTGTTGGACAATGGTGAACCAGTCGAATCCCTCAGCTCACTATTTGATGATGCATACAGAGAAAAGAACAAAATAGATGAGAAAGCACTGCACATGTTCAGTGGTTACGTTGCCAGAAAAGCTCGAAGAGCTACTAGTGCAAAACATTGCGATAAGTGTTTTGAATTTTTACAAGCACCTGCAGATTCCCGGAATGAAAATGACTCACTTAAAGAAAAGAGAAGTGAGGGTCATTTGCTGACACCATCCGAAGCCCTATACAGGATACTACACAATCTTGAGGACACAATATGTCACACTATTCAGAACACTCAAATACATGAAAATCTTCTCTTTGAAGGTAAAAGCATTTGAAGACAATGATTATGAATAATAAGGCAAGTAGTGTACTCACCCTTTATTTTTATTTTGTTTTTAGTTGTTGACAATGCAAAGATGCATACATTTTCCCCAGTTGGTTGTGAAGAGCATCAAAGACAGCTGACCAAAGACATCATGCGCTTTTACCTGACAACAAGAATGAGTTTTACTTGCAAGCAGTACAATAGGAACAAAATGGAAGATGCAGATAAAAGAAAAAGAATGAAAGATGTTATCAATTAATTCAAAATTGTACCAATGTAGTATAATAACTAGACCTAAATGTTAATTTAAAATATGTCTAGTCACACATAGAGCTGTGTAAAAGAAATGTACTTACTTATAAGAAAAGACTGCCAAATGTTACCTGTATACACCTGTATACCAAAGTGTCAAGTGTTATAACTGTTAACAATTCTTAAAATGTAGAGAACCATAACCAAAGAAATGCATCAGCTGATCACCGGCACCAGCGTAGCCGGCACATATCCCACCTTGCACATATCGTTTCTGTGCTTTCTGTGAACGTACGAGGTTACATAAAAAGACCCTTTGCCTCAACAGAATATAGCATCAAGCACAGTTATCTCAGCTATATAAGAACTCAACCAAAAATGTAAAAGTCTGACTCCTCCAGCCAAGGTCAAGGTGATAGCGGTGTTGGGCTGGAATCAGCTGGGATGTTGTGCACGACGAACAGTCGACAGGGCGCCCTCCGCAGCTCTCATTCCTATTGTGCGACGCTGTGCTGGGAAGCTCGAAACAGATCTGACATTTTTTCATACCTCACAGGCCGTCGTGGCACGTGCTCAACTCGACCAATCAGAGCTACTACGGAAACAGAAAAGTCAGTGAGTTTGTTCTTTTCCTAGTTCCGTGTTAGCCTGGAATACCCAAAAATCGAGTCCCAAATTTACGTTTTCCAATCAGCACTATTTCCCATTTTTTACTTTCCCAATAATACGTTCCCAATTTATTACTTTCCCAATATATATTCCCAATTCGAGTTTCCCAATGGTCACTATGAGTGGGCGGTGGTAAACAAGAAAGGGTTAGCACTTGGGCTGAAGTTGATAGTTGGCGCCAGTGGCTAGACCAGGCGAACCATGGTGGACCCCAAAGCAGCCGAAATTATCACTTCGGGGATGGGTGGAAAGAAGCTGATCTACAACGGTTTCCTGTACCACCGGCGTGATAGCAGGAAGGCAAATACGTACTGGTCTTTGCACGACCCGTACGAAAAAGTTTAGTCCGGCATCAGTCCGTTTTCGGTCCGGAAAGAGTCCGCACCCCTGAGGACCAGTCCGCGTTCGATCCGTCGTGCACCGGACTAGTCCGCTTTTAGTACCCCCGGGCGTGCGGACTAGTCCGCTTTGAGGTCGCAGCGGCCAAGTGCAATGCCGGACCAGTACGCAGACAGTCCGTCCTCGGCGGACCAGTCCGCGGACAGTCCGCCCTCACCGGACTAACTAGGTCGCTATCAGTCCTCCAACGGCGGACTACTGGCGGACCAGTCCGTCCTGAGTACCTACCGCAGCGGACCAGGTCGTTTTCAGTCCGCCCGGGAGCAGAGCACAGCACTGTTAAAAAGAAAGAATTGTCCGGAGCGAATCCCGATACAAGTTTACCATGCTGTAACTTTGGAAGTTATAGGAATTTTGACCTCAAATTTTATTTGGGACATCTACACCCTATTTTAGTAGGGCCATTTTAATTTCATTGAAATCGAAGCAAATTTTTCTGCTAACTCGTAAACGGCTTGAGCTAGGTCAAAACAGACAGCGGATTTGGCTTCGCCTCGATTCTAACACTCTAAGACCACTGTTCGATTTACCCAGCTGACCTGATATTTTACTTTATTTAGCGATAATAAACATTAAACTTTGCACTTTTCCCAATCAATTTTGGCACGGTAGTGGTCAGCTGTGCTTCAGGTAGTCCGCTTTCAGTTTGCTCTACGTGCGGACCAGTCCGCGATCAGTCTGGTGAGGCGGGGATGCGCACCAAAAGCGGACTAGTTCCAGCCGGACTAGTCCGGCAAATAGGTCGGTTTTTGGTCGATCTGGCTTTTTTCGCGGACTAGTCCGCTCGCTTTGGCGGACTGATGACGGACTGTCCAGCCGGACTCTTTCCGGACCGAAAACGGACTGATGCCGGACTAAACTTTTTCGTACGGGGAGTAAAAAGGAGTGCAAAGCCACAGTGGTAACGCCGTTCACCAATGGAACCGTCGAGGTGCTGAAGGAGGGGAAGAACGAGCATACGCCCAACCGGGAAGAGGTGGAGGCCGAGCGAGTTGTCACCAATCTCAAGAGAATCGCGAGCGATCACCCCGCGCTTCTACCAGCCCAAATTTTGCGTACCGAGCTGCCCGAGTGCAGCGAGGGAGTCCTTAGCCAGCTTCCGGAGCGTGAAAATCTGAAGAACTGTATGCGGTGGGAACGAGCGCCGGATCAGCCGAGCAACCATGTGACCGTCTACCTGAGGACGATTGGTAACCACTTCCAACTCTAAATTCTATTGGGAAAAATATTTTGGAAAAATTGAAAGAGGAAAAAGGTAATTTTGGGAACGTATTTTTGGAAATAAAAAATCTGGGAAAAAATAACATTGGGAAACACTGATTGGGAAAAATAACCGTAAACCTGGAATACCCTATTGCACGTCAGCACGTAAAGTATTTAGCACTTTAAAGCACAAGTTTATACGTAGTTCACTCTAATTCTACGATAAATGTTTTAACAGTGCGCACTGTAAAACTTTAAGTCGTCACTTTACGAAAAAGTCACTCCTTAATTTTACTAATGAATGGTTCGTCACAAGGGGTGAGATGATTTATTCGTCACTTGACAACTCATTCGTCAAAGCTTGTGAAATGAAGATGTTGTCACATAACTGGAAAAGAGAAAATCGATACGATGAGAATCGTACCTGGGATCTTCGGTGTGGAAACAAGCGTCCTTTAAGCACACGGCTACCGAGGCTTTGTGTACGGAGTCATGCTGGCATTCGGAGCGTAGCCATGAGCGCTTACTTGCTTCCAGGTTTGTGACGGTAATTTTGTCACGTGACGAATGTTTCATTTATCTCGGTTGACTGATAGGTTATAACAAATGACGAATGGTTCGTCACAATGTGACGATTGGTTTATCTCAACCCTTGTGACAAACTATTCGTGACGATATTTTTCGTCACATGACGATTCAGTTAACAGTGCGCCTCGGCCAGCAGTGCTGGCAGTCATAGGAATGCTGAGATGTATCGGGCTAAAATCGGACTAGTCCGAACCACACGGAAACGCCTAGTCAGGCTTCACCCGGACAAGTCCGACGCATTGGGCGGAAATCGGACAGTCCGACAGGAGGTTTCCGGCGCCAATCGGACTGTCGGATTCAGACTTTAGTCCGACTGCTCCGTTTTACATTCGAATTTTAAACGTTTCGGAACATAAATGCAGCCATCCGAAACTGTCCGAACAGTCCGACAGGAGGTCTCGGGCGCCAATTGGACTGTCCGAAGTTGTCCGGCAAAAATAGGACAGTCCGGGGTCTGTCGAGTAAAAACGGAGCAGCCCGACGGAGACGGGCTACGGATCTTTCCTCGAGCAGGACCGACAGCGATCGGACTGATTGCGGTGCGGTATAAGTCCGAGGCCTGAAGGTGGCCCCACAATGGAGACCCGACGCGGGCGTTGCGGGCGACACGGATGACCCAGAGCGACGCGACACGACGTCGCCGCATCTACAGCGTCTATAGGCTGTGCCAGAGCGAAGACGTCGCTTCGCGTCGCCCTGCGTCGTCCGTGTCACCCGCAACGCCCGCGTCGGGTCTCCATTGTGGGACCACCTTGA